CAGCAGCACGACTTCAACGTCACGCCAACTTCAGATCCATATTCAAACACACAGATTCTAAATGGTCCGAGTTGAAGCGTTTGTTTGAACAGTAGCCGCTTGGTAACAACCATCGTTTCTCAGACACGTCCACTCTTCAGAGATCACCAGTGGGGTCACTGCTGATGATTTAATGTAGAACAAAACGTGATCCGTCTCTTCAATGTGTCTCAACCACAGACCTTAGTTCAGATACTTTCCTAATTCCTATGGAGAAATCCCATCGGCTCTGAGACGAGGGAACAGGAAGTGGAGAAATGCTGACTCACTTCCTGGTTTTAGGACTCGTCACTGCACCACTCGACAGAAATCCACCACAACCTCTGACAGCTAATTCTGTCTAAAACTTGGAAAAGGATAAAGCCAAAGCTGCTCTGACGTTGGGAGAGTTGGACAAAGTTTGACAGCCAAATACTGACTTGGTGAGATTCTTGTCACCAGGTCCCTCTCAGATAGAATTTCCTGCTGCGATGTGGTTGTGAAATGCAACAAGCACTTTCACAACCACATCGTTGTGAAATCCAGCCACTCTGGCCTCAGGTGCTCGAGAGCAGACGCAGGTAGATCAACTTGTGGAAACAAGTCAAATTGCGTGTCATCCTTGCACAAGGGGCCGTGCTAATCTTCTCTCTAACGTTTCACACAACGCAATAGAAAATGTGTGAATTCATTGTTTCGTGGACCTCGCTGTGATTTGTATAAACTGACTGGTTAATTCTGTCTGTGTCTTTATGTTGGATTCATCCACAGAAGGGATGAAGCCAAAACCACCCTGACATCTCCTCTGCATCGTTTCCACTTTCTCAAGCCCCTCTTCCTGATCTGAGTCTCATGAGAGTTTGATCGTTTCACGGATGTCTTGAAATACAAAGGGACAACACTTGCCGTTTCAGATAACCCTTCTGACAATGAGTTGTTCCAGCAGCTGGAGGACACCATCTGAATCTTCTTACCTGCGTCCTGATTCCTGATCTCTGCCTCCAGGTCTTCGGGGTCCACATAGGCAAAGTTTTCCTGTTCTTCGCTCGTCTTGCACTTCCCACAACAGAAACAGCAGCAGCAGAAGCAGCAGCAGCAGGTGAAGATCCCGCAGCAGACCACCAGGCCCTGAACACAGAGGAGAGGAAAGCTGAATTAGGAAGGGGGGGGGGCATTATGGAATTACATTAATTTGCAACAAGTACGAAAACAAGTTGCAGCAGAAAAACGTTGTGAATGATCTACGGAATGATCCACAAGTTTCTGTTCGATTAAGTCCCTTGAAATAGATTTGTAAATCGTTTTTAAATACATTTCTACAACGCCGCTATCAATTAGGAATGGGGCGATCCATAATTATTGCAGTTTTATTTCTTTTTTGGGGGAATCAACTTTTTTTAGGTAAGCAATTTTTTATTCAACGTTTTTTTGAGTCAACTTTTTTTGGTAAATATTTTTTTAAGTCTTAACGTTTTTTGAAGTCAACTTCTTTTGGTCAACATTTTTTTAAAGCCAACTTTTTTTGGTCAATGTTTTTTGAAGTCAACTTTTTGTTTTAGTCAACTTAATTTGTCAAAAAAAAAATTCAGTTCACTTTTTTTTACGTCAATGTTCTTTGCTCAACTTTTTTTTATTGGTCAATATTTTTTTTGATTCAACTTTTTTTGATTTAACGTTTTTTTAAATGAACTTTTTTTTTTATTCAATTTTTTTTTATTTAACGTTTTTTTAAGTGAACTTTTTTTTGGTCAACATTTTTTTTAGTCACCTTTTTTTTAAGTCAATGTTCTTTGCTCAACTTTTTTTTATGTTAACTTTTTTTTGGTCAACCTGATAGAAGAGTTTTTCACCTGTCGGCCTCCATATGAAATACACGTTTCCTCTCACCTTGAACCAGCACTTGGACATGAGGAAGTAATATTTGACGCTCTCGTCCCCAAACTGCTCGGCGACGTAAAGTCCCATCGAGCCGTACTCATCGTAGATCTTCCGTTTGTTCTCATCGCTCAGGATGGAGTTGGCGTTGTTGATTTCCTTGAATTTGTCCGCTGCCTCTGGGTTGTCTGGGTTTTTATCCGGATGATGCTTCAATGCCAGTTTCCTGTAAATAAGGGAGTGAGAGTAGATTAGCTTTTAATTAGCAACCCCCCACTTGTCTTTTAGTCTTTATTACTTACCTCCCTCTGTATTGTTTTATAGCTCTCAATCTTTTTATTTGTATTTATGTTGTACCGATATGTTCACTTTGTTTTATATTTTATATTGTTGCGTCGACTCAGTTGTCTTGTGTCTTATCCGTCAGAGAGAAACCATCAGTTCCTTTCCATTAGTGCACTCAAAGGGCCGGTTGGAACTTTAAGAGTATATAAATATAAATATATAATATATACAAAATAATGTATTATATTACATGATTGCCTCTGCATTGGATTATTAACTGATAGGGTAACAACTTAATAATTAACTACGTCTGAAAGCAGAAGTCATGGGCAAAAAACGGCAAGTCTCTTCAGTGCACAGGTCACAAAATGAGATGCATTGTGGGGCATGTAGTTTATGGACAAGTGATATTTGTGAACACACCTGTACGCTTTCTTTAGTTCCTCTGGCGACGCTCCTTTCTTCAAATCAAGGATCTTATAAAGGCTTTCTCCTGCCGTCGACATTTTACGCTGAGATCTGTTTTGGTCCTCCATGATTCAAGATCTGGAAGCTGGAACAAGGAGAATATAAAGATTTTATAAAACGGACAAGTCAAATCAAGCAATCTGATTGGTTCTTAGCCGTGATATACTGAGCGTATACCACGGGTAGAATTGTAAGTTACTTTTCACAACAAGTCAGTATCCCTCCGCGTCTGAGAAAAACAGTATACCGTTGGGCTGAAAAGCAAACTGCCTGCAGTTTGCTTTTCATACTGGAACAAGAAAGCAGCGGAGAAGTAACGGGGCAGAAGCCCTCCTTTTTGACGCAGCGGTCCAGACATAGACATCAAACGGCAAAACATATTCAGTGTGCAGTTCCTTTGGCATTAGGGCAGGGATATCTAGATACTTTTGAAGGTTTAACATAATGAATTGTGCTACTTTTAAAGCAAGCAACGATGTTTTCAAATCTGTAATCAAAGAGGTCCGCAAAAACGCTATCGACCAATCAGATTGCTTGATTTGACTTGTCAGTTTTATAAATATATTTAAATTTCTTCCGTTACGAAACAAATTTACAAAGCATAAAATGGAAACATTTAAGATTAACTTCGACCTCCGGGGGGGTCTTACTATGGAGGAGTGGATTGAGCAGTTACTATCTCCAGAGAGCACCTAAACGACGACATGCAGAGCTACGTGAAGAGCAGGTAGACCAACTGGAAAAGTAGCACC